TATAAAAAGAAGCACAGGTTACTAATTATAATAAACTTCACCCTTGGAATTAATTCTATTACAATTATAATATACATTCATCTGAAATGGCATTTTCTGCTTTTCGATGGGAAACAATCAACTTCCCAACATTTTTTAAATGATATCACAATTCCTCATGATACAAAAAGAAAATCTTTTTGTTAGCACACAAAGGACAAAAGGATATATTGGCTTATTTTCAGATTGGTTACTTTTCCATAGATATCCTCATGTCAATTCAGAGACGATGAACATGAAAATGATTTACCACAAACATCGCAAACTAAAAACCTAATAAACTTAATTATTATCGTCCAAATCCATGTTAATAGATAATTAATATTTTGGATTTTTGTCTTTTATTTTTAAATATATTTTTGGAACTGCTGGTTTTAGTAATTATTAATTAAACGAACTAAAAAGTCAAACAATTCTTAACCATAACCTTAAAAAATGCAAAAAATGCTGATCTCCTGTCAACTTTCTTTATTTTTTATTTGTTTCTTATTTTCCTAGTGACGTCATAGGTGGTATGTGCGAACTGAACGAAATTGGAGCCCCTATCGATCATACCTTGTTTTCTTTGTACCATGGTACAAAATAGCAACTAACAAATCTGTTAAAAATTTTCTCTACCATACAGGGTGATCCGAATAGTTGTATTCGAGAAACTGCGGCAGCATAGTCTACAGATAAAAATAATTAAAAAAAATTCGTGTAAATATATGTATGTCCTAAAATGCTTCGTTTCGGAGATACAAGATGTAGAAATTTCATTTTTATTTCGATTTATTCCAAATTATTTCTGAACTAACTTCGATATTTGGATGAAAATTGGTGGCTGGGAGATTTCACATTTGAAAATTTGATTTAGATGTTTATATGATGTTTGAAGAGTAATAAGTTTTGGTCCGTATCTGTATAAAACTACTGGGTGAAAAAATATACATTTCCATCGTTTTTACGTAAGAAAGGTCAATAAATCATAAGGTAATTAAAGGTATAAATAAGGCATTAAAGGTAAGAAAGGTAAATATAAATCATACACATAAACATCACATTACACATAAAAATCGCATATTGATATCGAAATCAAATTTCTCATGTTAAAAAGCTCCCCGACACCAATTTTCTTCCAAATATCGACGGTAATTCGGAAATTTTTTGGACAAAATAAACGACGAAATAAAAATGAATCTTCTACACCCTGTATCTCCGAAACGAAGCATTTTAGTATAAATACATAAATGTATACGAACTTTTTTACATGTTTTTATCTGCAGAATATGCTGCCGAAGTTTCCCGAATACAATTCGGACCACCCTGTATAATAAATAAAACACATCTTTTAAGCTGTATCTAACCAATAAATTTCTTAAGTACACTAAAAAAGATAATTACTCAAAGAAAAATCTGGTGTTGCTACCTACAAATCATTGGCTGCACTGAACTGAAAAGTATCTTTATCCCTTCTGTAATCCAGGCATAGTCCCAAATGAGTCTTATCTCGCCGAGTCAACTCCTCCAGCACCAAGGGATTTGCTTTGAATGAGATAATTATTGATGACCAGGCTAAAACGCTGATTGCGTTAGGTATCGTAGATATGCATCTAAATTATTTGAACCTTTTACCTTAAATTATGGTAGAATTATATTGCTTAAATGTGTAATTCCAACCATTATATCAAAACTTGATAAATACTTTTAAATAAAAAGAATATATGTATTTTTAATAGAATATAAAACCATGATGCGTGCTAATAAGACTATCGTTTAGAGTAATCTCTTAAAAACAATAAGAGAATGAACATTGCTTTTAAAAAATGTCCATGAACCATACTTTTGTTGACATAGTCAATCATTTTCACAGTTTAAAGAAATTCTTTAAACTGTGGTCTTAACCCACTTCGGTTTGCCTCAACCTACTTTCGATTTTTAAAAGCGCCTGAAAACTACTCGTGAGGGAATTTTTTTCGCGTTTCCTATTGCCTCGTTCAATTTTGTTTCGTTTTGAGCTATTTCCAAAACGTGGCGGTATCTGTACCCGAGGCAAAGGATTTTTTTTCATAAATCTCAGTGAAATAAGTAAACCTAGACATTTCTAAAATAGCTGTTGTTACGATGATATTTTGTTACCTACATCTCGTTTTATGTTGATATATATTCCACAAAATTAATATTTGAACACGCTTTTATAATATGTAGACTAGATATTTAACGACAAAACTTTTCACTCAATCTGCAGGAATATAATTACAATATGTTTATTATTAATTTTATATATTAACCCAGATTAACAAGAAAAAACAAACAACCAATCACGGCGCGTCTCGATCTATTTCAGAAAACGTGAGAACGAATCTTTGTAACACGGGCTTATATCTGAGTTTACTTCTGAAAGTATTTCCCGAAATGTTTCCTAAAATATTTCTGGAAATATTTCGTAAAACATTTCGGGGATAGTGTAGAGGCTGTTTTGGGTTGTGACAATTTCAAATGTTATTAAAATTAACGAAAAAATGTTAAAAAAACGCGTAAAGGAGAGCGTAATTAAGGCGTTGTTGGTTATATATATTTTTTAAGTATTTAGTACCATCTAATTGAAGAAAAACATTTCTTAGAATCAATGCTATTCTAGCATTGATAAATTGGTTTATTTACTTTCATATTCCAAAGCGTTGTACTATAGTTTATAGACACTAATAAATTTCCTTTCTAATATACATAAAATTTTGCATAGAAATGAAACAGTTGGGGCCTTTTGGCAGAAAGATATGTAAATGGATACCAAAACATATTGCTCTTCATGTTAGAAAAATAGCGCCGGCCGGCACCTACCATAGATTTTTCATTGTGGAAGTTTGTTTAATTAAACTGCATACATTTAAAAAAATGGGTTGATTTAATACACTTCTTAAAAAATATTGTAAAATATTGTACAAAATATCCAAAAAACATAAAATAAATTGGAATCTTTAACATTTATGAAATATACGTCTTTTAGTGTTATTTTGGAGTTTGACTTTTCCATCTAAAATGTAAAAGCCTCTATGCAGGGTTATTCACCTCATTCGAGACAGAGTATCCCTTTAGAGAGATTAGATTTTTAGAAATTGTGAGTGACGGGATCGTTGGAGGACTACTAAAAAAAATTAAAAATTATTTTCCAAAGATACAGAGTGTCCCAAATAAAAAAAAAATATCAAAGTTGCATTTTTTAAATGGAACGCCCTGTATATTATTACATTTGTAGTTTGGTTTGTACGATTAAAATAAAGGTAAATTAAGGATTACCGCACTTTAATCTTACAGTTTTTGAAATATTTTTTTTGAAAACAGTTTTAATAGGTGCTTCATTCCTCTAGGCGTATTTAAGTTTTTAAAACCCAATATTGTACTGACGTTTTTCTATTTACTAATTCTTGTGTTGCATTAATTATAATATATACATTTTATTACATCATGTTTGTAGGTACATAGAATTAAAAAAATGTTGACTTTATCCTAGTTCTGCGATATATAAAATATTATTTAGATATTAAGACGCAGTTTCATTCTAGAGTTTTATACTGGCTATTTTAAACATTATTAAAATATAGTATTATTAAAATATATAGTACCGTGCTGGCAACTGTTACTCTTGGGTCGGTATTTACATGTGTGGAAGTAAATCGCATAGGAATCTTATTAAGTCAGAGTGAGAGAAATGCGACGGAGTGCTGTTGCGGCGTTGCCGGTACGCCTTCCCTATCAAGTAAAGTAAAATCACTATCGCAAACCGCTTATTTTTAAAAGTCTTTTTTTTCAAAAAGATAACTAGAGAAAATCATTTGAAATGTTTCTGAGCATCTGAAATGGAATTATAAGGATATCTTTAAGGTGTAATTTTTTTATAACGAGAAAACGTCAGTAATCGCGATAATTTAAAAACTCAACTTTTTAACACAACACGCCATAACTCAAGAAACAATTTAGATATTGAAACTTTTTTTATTTTGAAGATAAGATCTTTTACAATATGTTTACATAAGAAAAATTCGATAAGGTTGTTTTTTTCCATTCAAAAATTGTAAACAACCCATCTACTTACTTTTAGAGCATAGTAATTTTCAGCAGTCGTTTAATTTTTTTATTGATAAAGATTTTCACTTACTATCTACGAAGAAAATACAGCAGAAATATTAAGAAAGTTTTTAAAAAAACTACAATCAATTATTTCTAATAGATTTCGAGATATCGATTTTTGAATTCAGAGTTCTAATAGCCCGACCACTGTCGAAAACCAACTCAATTCCACTTATTTTTACCAAAAATGCAAGTGTTTCTAGCTTCCACTTAAAAATTTTCAAGCTATAGGGAAAATTACAACGACTCGTTAATAAATAGACAAATAAAGTATCACGAGACGTAATTAAATCGTGAAGCTGAACGCATGATGTACACCTCTCCCTAAAACTTTAAGTACTGACAGCTGCTATATCCCCTTCCACGTCTCTAGCAATGTGCACAGCATAGACAAACAGAAAAATTAAAAGACTGTCAGAAGACATACGACGCGCAGTTGTTGGTATACATGTTCCTGTAGCGCATCGACGCAAGTGCCGAAATACGTCCATCTAGCTATCTGTGTTTCGACTATGGAGTGTAGGGGTAAGAAGAAACAACTCTTACGGGACTTTTATTGAAAAAGTGGTCACAAAATGGAAAGAATAAGGGTTCGCCAAATGACCACAGTGGCGCTAAAAACGCATGAATCTAAAAAATGAAAAGTAACCATAGATAAGAGCATAGATAAGAGAATAAAAATAAATATAACCAAACATTACCCAAAAAAAGTTTTGTTTTTATTTTTTAGACAGAGTTTTTGAATATAAAATAATTATTGTTTATCAATATTTTGTGCTTTATTTATTATTTAACAATGGTTAAAGTGTGTGTGTGGTGCGAAGTTGATTGAATAGCTGATAAAGAGCAAAGGCGGAAAAATAAAGAGCAAAGGCAAAGCCTACGGTATGTAAAATACATAATGTAATTCAATATTGTATCTGCTGTAAGTGCTGTATTTTAATAATCTATCAAAAATCAAAATCATCAGGATAATATTAGGTATAGATTTTCAGACAAGAATTAGATTACAGTGATGGTCAAAAGCATTTAAATATTGCTTTGAAATCTACAGATAAGGTATGGCAGTTTCATTTTAAAGAACAAGATGTTAAAGTTTGTGATAAAATTGTCATCAGAAATACTGTCCACTTCAGTATTTACATAGGAAAATATTGGAGGATGAAACTCTACCTACTGCCTCAGGTTAATTTAAATTCTGAATTGCAACAACAGCAACAAGCAAGAAGGGCACCATTAAATGAATATTATACACATAAGTATTATTATACACAGAAAGAGTAATGTTATACACATAAATATTAACATTTTGTAGAGCAACAACAGAATAAAAAACCAAAATATGAACAGCAGCAACTAAAACAGGAACCATTAAATGAATATTATACACGTAAGTACAATTTGATCGAATAAAAAACGGCGTCAGCGATGCCTATGAAATGAAGATTCCTGTCATTTTATATGTAAAAAGATATGGAGAATGTCATCGAGATGTTCATTTCCAAACCAACTGGACGCCGTGTTTTTTCGATCATACAGTTATTATACACATAAATAGTAATATTATACACATAAACATCCCTTGATAAAGATCAACATTTTGTAGAGCAATAACAGCATCAAATAATGGAAATAATGGACCCTATTGCTCAAATCTAAAACAAAATTTCAGCATTACCACTTTATTGGTTATATCAATAAAAGAAATTATTGAGTTCATTAGTCTAGATCCTACAAGCAAGCAGATCTATCACATAGTTTTAAATGAAGATTTATCTATTATAGTATGTATAAATTCTTTGCATCTTTTACTCAATGTTGTAATGAATTAACAAATTGCAGGTAAATTATTCTAATAACGAAAAAAAAACTTTAGATCAAAAAATATTTTCTTCTGATGAGGTTTATGAATATTAAAGTCTGTTGAAGTTTGGCTATTATGTGTTGGTATACAATTTATTTATGATGTTACAGTAGTTAAACCATCCGAGTACGAAACATGTTTAAAATCCACTATTATTAATGAATGGCAACTACCAAGTTGAGAGGAAGCTAAGAGAAAGGTTCTATTGGGTGGACTACAAGGAAAAGGGACATATACATGAGGATCTGAAAGGGCTATAAGATTACGTCTCAAGCCATGGGACAACAGGAAACGAAATTCAAAGGAAAATATTACAATACGTGGGATGCAAATTATAGTGCAAAGAATTGAGAAAAAGAATTATTAAAAGAAGTTATTGTTACGATAGTTAAACCATCCGACTACCAAATATATTTAACATCCACTATTCTAAATGAATAGCAACTACCAACTTAGGAGGAAGCTGCAGGAACGATTCTATTGGGTGAACTACAAGGAAGACATGAGCATCTGGAAGGACTATAAAATTATATTATTTTACGTGCCAAGCCATATTGGAATAGCTGGGAGTGAAAAAGAAGATAATACTGCACACGATTCTTGTCTAGAAGTAGTTGATATTAAGGTAGTTAAGCCATCCGACTATCGAACATTTAAAATCCACTATTCTGAATGAATGGCAACTACGATGGCAAAACGTAAATAAATACTTGTACAGTATAAAATTATATAATATTGGCTTAATTTTTATACTAAATAAAATGTGTTACGTTATTTTTGACCTGCATTATATTTATTTAAATCCCATATCATCTATTAAACTTTTAATAAAGTTTTCCTAATTATAATTAACATTAATTTTAAACTAAAGCTTTTTCATCTTGAATGAGATTTACGAAATAACTTATGAGATACAATAAAAAAGAGGCTCAGTCTATTGCTTCTGAATAATCGATAATAAAACCACATACTGACTTACTTTTATACTAAATAAATGTAGGTATGGAGTTTTGTCATAGAGCTGATATTTCGGGGTTGAGAGTCTTTTGACTATAAACGTTGCAAGTACTGTAAGGCAACGGGTCGTTTGACCGGAAGAAAACCTCTGGTGACGTCTTTCCTTCAAGGTTGGTCTTGAGAGTTTGAGGTCTCCCTTGTCTTCTCGATTGACACGATGCGGCGTTGGGGTAGAGAGACTAGTGAGGTACCCCAATTAGCTTATTCGATTGAGATGCGAATCTGTTTAGCGGCAGAGTTGCGTCCGGGGGAAGCCCCTATACTATTTCAGGTGACACTAGCTAGTTGTTGAAGATTATTAACCAATATATAACCGAATGATATTTGAATTAAATGGAAAATATGGAATGGGATATATTGAATAGAATATATCAGTGGCTAGGGGGCGGAGTACCCCCGGGTGAGTCTTACTATTTAACTATTAATTTTATCCAGATCAGTAAATGTTTGTTTTGTTATTTTCATGTACAATGAGAGAGTGCTTGCCAATGACCAACTAAATGGATATTTGAGGTGAATTTGCATTGTGAGACCCGGTTGAGTAAGCCCCAGAAATAAGCGATTTTACAACTTTTTTTTTCTTAATTCTTTATTAACTTTATTAAAAAAGTCGAAATTGAAACCGTAACCACTCGTCAAGTTGTGTCTAAAACATATGCTTTACGTGTGACACAACTGAATTTGCTGTCAAACTTAAATTTGACGGTTGACATAATCTAAATTCTGGTAGTCGAAAATCAGCTTTTTTCGTGCATCTGAGAGTGTTGGTTGTAATAAGTGGAAAATGTAAGTAAAATAATATGATATTGGCTTTAATTAGACTTAAGAAGATAGTCCTCTGCCGAAAGTTATTTAAGCAAGTCAATTAAAAAGTTTTTTAATACAAAAAAAATCATAATAAATAATTTTTATGATAGAACATGATATATTTTTTTCTATTATGTTGTTCCTTTTCCCCCAGGCTACGTCTAAATAAGAATACGTACTGAAAAACAATGTTGTCCCTAATCACCACATTTCCAGGGGAATAGGGACAAGACGGTTTTTTTAAAAAACGCACTTTTTTTCTTCTTTTTTTAATTGCGCTATTTGGAAATGAAAAGTACACAACATGTTCCATATTTTGGCTTACAGAAACTAAAAATAAATTAAATAGTAAAGCAGGAATATCTTTGTAAAGTCCACGGAGTGCCCCGATTCACCTCATTTTACGGTACCTTTTGATGTACCTTCTACATCTACAGGGAGGCCTAAAAGATGTACAAAACCTCCAGATAGATTAGTTTACAATCCTTAATTTCTTAGTATGTTAATTTATAGTGTAAGAAATTATTGTTTATTATTATCACATAATAATTATTTCATTAATGTTTATAATATATTTTTTGTGTAAGATGCAAATTAAATTGTTAATTAATGTTTACATTTTTGAAAGTGTTAAAGAATTTTTTTATTTATAACATTTTAAATTGTTAAAGATTGTTCTTAAAAATTGTTCAAATGTAACATTAATTAGTAGGGGAGAATGTAATATATACATATTATTACTTCATGTTTGTAGGTACATAGAATTAAAAAAATGTTGATTTTATCTTAGTTCTGCGATATATAAAATAATATTTAGATATTAAGACACAGTTTCATTCTAGAGTTTTATACTGGCTATTTTAAATATTATTAAAATATACTATTATTAAAATATATATAAAGTTTGATTTCCACTCAACCACCGAGTATTTCACATTAATTAAAACAATACTATTTTGTACAGAGTGTCAAAAAAATTATTTTAAATAATTACTAGCTTTAAACGGCAATAACTTGTTTAATTTAAATGGAACACCTTGTACGGCATATTGTATATATTATTCTATTTTTAGATTCTACGATTGAAATAAAGGTATATTTGATTAAGGTTTAATTAATTAAATTGTGCAATCAGATGCACTCGTAAAATATACAGGGTGTTTTATTTAAATTTACCAAGTTATTGCCGTTTAAAGCTGTAATTATTTAAAATAATTTTTTATACACTCTGTATAAGATAGTATTATTGCAATACAATATCTGATCAATAAATAAACTTTACTAAATATTTAGTATTAAAAACTTTGATACCCTTGGAGAAATGAAGCTTTAAATTTTTTAATGTAATTTCACAAAATTGAAAATATTTCAAAAACGGTAAGTACAGTACTTCGTGTCCAATGAGATGGATAACCCTGTATAAAAAGTTACAACGTAATACATATATTTTTTAAACCATGCAATTATCGTTAATCTGGTACAAAAACAAAAATATTTTTATTTCTAACTTGTGACATATTTCGTTTTTCATCTCTAATAATATTCTAATTATGTGACAGAAAGTATCTCGGTGTAATGCAGAAAAATGGTCCCTAAAATTTATCGTCGAGCCGTCTTCCTCGGTGACGTGTCATGAATTTAAGCATGATTCACACACAAGTTTAGAGCACTTAGACGCATATTAACTACGCAGCACGTAGAATTAAAACTCTCTTTTAATTTAACTTTGGAATAAATTAATTCCTAGTGTATTATGTCTAGTAGTTAATAGGTGTTTACTTAAATTATACAAACTTAAAAATTGTAAATCTATAGATATCTTTGAATAAAAACATTAAGGAAGAAGCATAAATAAAATAATAAATAAGGCTTTATTGTACAAAAAGCCAAAATAGCTTCATCGACAAAACATTTACAAAAGAAAAAAAAAGCACAAAAAATATACAAATAATAAAAAATATCATACAATACAAATCAATTAAAAAAAAATTACGTTATTGAAATTACAAATAAAACATACATGGACATTGCAAAACACAAAAAAGGCGTATTAATAAAATTTTACAATAAGAAAATTGTAAATGGATATAATCATGTAATAAAATATTAAATATTAAATACTAGACCTTTAACCAGTGTGTGAGATGATCAAAATTTTAAAATTCAAAATTGTCCATGATTAAACATCAACAAAAAAGTCGTTTACAGCATATAGGCATCTCTCCAGTAAGTATGATTTCAGAGCTTTGCGAAATGCGGGAAAGAATGAAAGTGACTTGATATTCACAGGCAGATGATTGTACATTTTTTTGGCATTGTACAGTATTGAGCTTTCAACTATTTAATTGACTAATTTGCGCGAGGTATTTTTGCATTTGGATTTTGGCAAAAACTTTGTCAATACTGCCTCATGATCAGAGAAACCTGAGTGAAGGACTCTACAGTCAACGAATTCCGGGTCAAAAGACGACACGACATAGTCTATAGTACTAAAACCAGTTTAAGTTATTCTAGTTGGTGAATCAATATGCATGAGTATACCAAAAGAATCAAAAAAAGGACTGGAAAGACTCCCTAGCTGCACACGCACTGGAAAAGCCAATATTTAGGTCGCTACACGATATTAATTTACTTTTTATAGGTGGGGATTCAAGCAAGCTTAGCAATTTTTGACTGAAAATATGCACGTCAGCGTCAGGTGTTCTGTAAATACAAATAATATAGAGGTCAAAAGCATTATGATAAACCATGGAAAATTCAAAAAAAATTTCGGATATTAGAGTATCGAACTTAGATAACTGCCGAAAAGTCGTTGTTAGTAGACATTATCATAGTACCTCCATGAGATGAGTTACTTCTATTGAATCTAGTTACTGTAGTGTAATTTTTGACAAATACAGGCTCATCCATATTTAACCAATGTTCAGTTATGGCAACAATTTCTAGAAAATTGAGCTCTTGTAATAAAAGATATAATTCATCCGTTTTATGACTTAAGGACTGAATATTAATTAAAAAAACACTTATATCAACGCATATCAAAAAACTTTGTGAAGCACGATGGGGGCCTAAAATGGCCGGCTTAAATGCCGGTTTATCACTCTACCGTTCTAATTTTATTCAAAACTCATTAATTTCTTGTTGAAGTGAAACTTCTTTAAGCACGATTGAAGTAAAAATTCAAAGCCGTGTCACGGCATATGGTACAGTATTTTTCGATAAATCGCAATAGCATCACTGTTACTTTAAGTTCTGACACAATTTCCTTCTTGATTTACTACCTTTAAGCAAAACCATTTGTAGAATAAGTAATAAATAACATAAAATAAGCAGTAACGGTAAAGACTAACAATAAAGTAAGCAATAACAGTAAAGACAAACAAGTCCACAAAATTTCAAATCAAATTCAAATTGTTTCAGTTAAAACGTCAAACAGAACTGTCAAGGATGGGGACCTATGATGTTGATTTCGTCAACTATGCATAAATACATGGAATGTGGATATCGTTATCAAGACTATATACAGGGTGTTTCTGAACAAGTGTCCTGAAGTTTCAAGAATTTTTAACGTAAAAACTTTATATAATCATGCGCCCTAAAATTCTTCGTTTTCGAGATTCTATATATAAAAAAATGAAAAAAATAATTTTTAATAATATCTTCTGAGCCACTACAGATATTTTTATGAAATCTGTAACACGTTTTTCCCCATTCTTATAAGAAAAATATAAAAAACTTTCACTAGTGGCGTTACCACGAAAAAAGTCAAAACCCATTGTTACGTACAAATTCTTATATCAAATTTTAACAATTTCGCCATTAAAATGGATTTTACTTCTTTACGCGACAACTGTGCATCCGACAAAAAAAAACAAAAAGACGCATAATTTGCTCTAAAATAAATGGGGATTCTAAAAATAATATTTATTTTATGGGTAATTAGTAATTTACTGGTAAAAATTTGGCAAAGAAAATAATCGTCGAAAAATGCCCTTTAATAGTGATAAAATGTATACCAAATCTCATAAAAATATTGTGAGTGGATTCAAAGATATTATAAGAAAAACGATTTTTTCCTTAAATTGCTGACACCCTGTATCTCGAAAACAAAGCATTTTAGAACACATATTTATATACACTTTAAATATCTAAAGAGATGATCAAATCAGTTGGAACCTAAGGTTGGAACTGCTACTGTTATTTAAATTAAGAACTTAAAATAACAGTATTGTGTTAATTTATTATTCAATGATTAGTCAGTCCAATCTTCCAAGAGGAACGAGTTTATTTTAATAAAAAAAATTAACACACGACTTGTTCAAAATAAAGTAAAAAATCAGAATATCCGCAACATACCTAAATATCAATAATACCAATTCAATAAGCATATCTTTTAAGAGAACGCTTTCATTTTAATAACTAGTTATTTCTTTTAAAACAGAAGATAATATTACGCTTTACTATAGAAAAGAATTAATGATTTAAAACCTAGTACATAATTACCTTAAATTACAATTACTTCGTAGTTAATGTGTATTTGTACACTGATCAAGTAAGTAAACATATTTAAAAAATAATTTTTATTTTGTTTTGTGATAGTCGTCAATCATAACTGTGTATCAGCGTTCATGACAAATTGTTTCTATTCTTGTAATGTTTTGATGAAACATTTTTTTTGTTCATAACCGAAGTATTGTCAAGGTTTTATAAAAAAACAAAAATAAAAAAATAGATGTTAGAAATAGGAGCTCAGAACATTTTAAAAGTTCCTTCGTCAATTTTTTGCACTTATTTTGTTTCTGTTACCTAAAAATTCCTTGAACTATATTCTCAAAGGGACTCCGAGCTTTTATTTTTTTTGCTACAGTCTCTTCGATAGCAATAGCTTTCTTAAAAAAAATCTTATTTAAGGCTCAATAAAATAACCTTTTTATATATTTTCTTGGTGTTTCAGAAAAATATATTTTATATAAAAAAATTAGTTGTGTTCAAAACGTTTGCCAAAAATTTAAGTGATTTTGGGTCAATATGAACAACCCAAAAAAAAAGATACTTAAAAAAGGGTGTCCACCACCATTACTTGAACGAATTACGATTGCTTATTTTTCTATATCTGAAATTCATAGATGATTAAAAAGAATAACAATGAGTTATTTCTTTGAAGGACATTGATAAAACCAATTTTTATGAGTCATTGATTCAATACATCTTAAAAGACCATATTTAAATTAAAAATATAGTAAAATTTAAAAAAAAACAACTATCCACCATCTTTTATTGACAAAGCATTAAACGAAATACAAACCTTAAATCATAGACAGAATACACACAATGATAACAATACACAATACATATATACAAATTAGAATTCCATGCATACAAGGCGTTTCGGAAAAAATAAGAAGGATGGGAAAACAATATAACATACGAACAACCCTCAAAATAGACTTAGATCCATTTTAACACACACTAAACCATTGAACACTGGACAACAAACAAAAAATGTAATATACAAACTACCATGTGAATGTGATAAATTTTATATTGGTGAAACATCTAGACCCTTAAATGTTCAAATTAAAGAACATAAAGATTATTTAAGAAAAGGCGATTTTCACAAATCTAAGATCTGGCAGCATTCATGGGACACAGACAGAGTAGATTTTAAAAGAAGCGATTGCCTCTAAATAAAAGAAAAATAATCGTGCATCTGTAGACAGTGGCGTCGCCAGAGGGGGGGGGCAAGATTAGCTTGGGCCCACTAGTGGCCCACCCGCGCAGTGTCCAGAAAATATACCGTCAACTTTCATCGATTTGTAATAAAATTATGTAATGCAATCTATACTAACATATAAAATCAAACCATTCAACGTAAGAAGCTCAATTTTGGCATAGAGGTTGATTCTTGGGTGTAGAGGTTCGATAAGAAGGGATTTTACGAAATTCCAGTTCCAAGGGGGTATAAACTAAGGGGGTAAAATATATAATACTTGAGAGGTAGTTTCATCTCGTTGGAATTTGACTTTCGAAAAATCCGTTTGCCTAAAACAAGCTTTTTACGTCAATCAGTTTAAGCAGAATCGTGGTTAATCAATTACCCAACTTTTTGAAACACCCTGTATGATTTTTTAAAAATTTTCAAAATATGTAAAAAAACAATAGTTATTTTTTAAACAAGACGATAAAATGGTATTTTATCGTTGACCGAAAAGATTAATTCACGAGCGATGAAATCGCGAGTGAATTAATTTCGGAAGACGATAATGCAATTTTATCGTCGTGTATAAAACAAAATTTTTTCCATAGCGAGTTACGTTTTAAAAAATATTCAGAAATTATGATTTCAAGGGATTTATTACGAGTAGAAGAAATATTGTGCTGGGTTGGCGTTGGTTTCTATGTAATTTGACAAATAAATAAAGCTGTCTCTTTAGTTGTCAGTTTTGAGTCAATATTTTTTAATTCTCTTTTATGTCGATTGCTGATTGAATTGAATCCAGAAATGGCTCAAAACGAAATAAGTAAATTACCAACAGATATTCCGGCTAAGGCGACAAACGCCATATCCAAACTACTTCCATTTAAATCCCGAATAACTTATGAAACGGAATACAAAAATTTTCAAAAAATGAAAGAAAAAAATGGAAAAAACGTGCGAGAAGAAATAAAGTATTTAACCTATCCTCTCTGTTAAAAAGTATCATTTAATCTACCTTTGCGGTTAAAGCACTATTTTATTTACTATTTTTGTATACATTTTTAGAAAATATTAAAATATGTAAAAAACAAAATAAAATATACGTGTTTAAGCGTTTTTTCGGAAACTTGACCGTTTTTTAAATAAAAAATATTGTAATATTTGAGGGGTGGTTTCACCCCCTTGGAACTGGAATTTCGAAAAATCCCTTCTTATCGAACCTACCGAACACATTGCGAAAAATGTTTCCATAGAGGAAGTCTAGCTTAATAAACTTTTGCTTGTACTGTTGTCTGTTTCATTTCATTTTAGCTTTTCATAGAAACTAATCAACAATTATTATGATATGGTAAATTATCTGGCCCACCCGAATAAAACCTGTCCCAGTAGTGGCCCACCCTGAAAAAAATATCTGGCGACGCCACTGTCTGTAGATGTTAGTAAGAATATAACATAAATATAATAAACATAACATCCGTAAAAATCAAAAACAACTTAAAAATAATCAAACAGAAAGTTTGAAGCTTTTTGGTTTTACCTTATTAAGTAATTGTTATCAGGTTGTAACTGTTAATTTTGAAGTTTAAATTGATATAATGTCATTTTAACAGAACGTCAAGGATTTTAAGACATATCTGTTTAAAATAGACTAAAGTGTTCTCGAATAGTCTCATTTAAATATTTTAAATCGTTTTTTTTCTTTGTTGTTTGTTTTTTTTTGCTTCCGGCAACGGGAAGAGACATACTTCCCGAAACGTTAAGCATTTTTTGTTTGTTGTTTATTAGTGTATTTTTTATTATTGTTTTTTATTAGTATTACAAATTCAAATTATTACAGTGTTTACAAAAAATAAGTATTTTATTTTGTAGATTTTCTTACAGTGGCGAAATACCCATAGGACTTTTATTGAAGAGATTAAATTATAACTATATAATATGTCTAATTGCAACAAATTTAAAAACATTAAAACCATTTTTTAGTGAGCTTTGTTTGATATTTCGACGTTTTGATATAAATGTAAAAAATTATCTAAAAAAATAAGCGTCCAATCCAATAGAATATAAAACAACATAACTTTATTGTAAATAATGTCATACTTTAACAATACAGAAGTTATAATGAAATAACCAATACAATACAACAAACAGAAAATAAAAGAGAAAATCATATATAAATATAAATAAATGTATTTGCTCAGGCATCTGAAGATAGGAAATACAATATAATCGAAAAAAAATCAGCGATGACTATGAAATGAAGATCCTGTCATTTTATATGTAAAATTAGATGGAAAATGCATCGATTATCATTTCCAAGCCAACTAAATGCCGTTTTTTTCGATCATACGGTATAATATTTGTGTATAAAATATTTTTATACTTTTAAAAGTTATGTTATTAAGGCGAGCTGTTATTAATAAAACAAACTAAAAATAGCATTAATAAAAATATTCAAATTTATATCCAAATTAGATTCCAAAATTCTTTTTATAAATGGGTTAATTTAAATAACCAGATATATACGGTAAATATGCAAATTTATTATTCGTTTTATTCTCAATACGGTTAATTGGAGGAGAAAAAAATAAAAATATTTCTGGGCAACCTATTTATCCGATTATATTGAAAAATCTCCACCAATCTTTGATATTTTTTAAATTTTAATCTATAGGGTTTATTTATTTATGGCCGTCTTAAGGTAAACTTTTGACTACGAAAATGTCTGTGCGAAAAGATGGAGTACAATATGATTAATAAGATATTTTTCTGTAAAAATGTAAAATTTAATTAGTAGTATTAAGGTAAATAATTAAAGCCAAATCAATTTATCATGTGCACCGGAAAAAAAATGGCTAAATTAGCGCGGCCGGT